CGACAGACGACGTCTGGCTTCGGGATCCCTCTCCTTCCTCCTGGCTGGCTTTGTGTCTGTTGGGAGTTGCCCAAAGCCACCCTCTTTGTGTGTATTCCTTGATTTTTGAAAGGCACCAATGAAATGGTTTCTGATGCTTTGTTAAGTCCTTGTCAAGCCCTTGGTTGTGGTCTGATGGCTGGACCCTGCATGTGGCCACTCCTGTGCTGGTGGTTTGCATCTCATCCTGGGCTCTGCAGGGAGGCTGCCGGCAGTGCTTCCTGTGGGCCCCTGAGGCCAGTCTCAGCTGGTGAGAAAGCAGGACCTTGGCTGAGTACTTGGGCCACAAAGACACACCTGTGGTCAGTATTTCTTGGCATTAGTTTACTCTGAAACAATTCAGCTCCACGAGAGTAAGATATCATAACAAAAATTGTGGCATTTATGGGTTGAATGAATGCACACATGCATTTTTTTTTTATTTTTAATTTTATTTTATATGTCTTCATTGATTTCAGAGAGAGGAAAGGAGAGGGAGAGAGAGAGANGCATTTATGGGTTGAATGAATGCACACATGCATTTTTTTTTAATTTTTAATTTTATTTTATATGTCTTCATTGATTTCAGAGAGAGGAAAAGAGAGGGAGAGAGAGAGATAGAAACATCAATGATGAGAGTCATTGATTGGCTGCCTCCTGGATGCCCCCTGCTGGGGATTGAGCCCACAACCCAAGCATGTGCCCTGACCAGGAATCGAACCCTGATCTCCTGGATCCTAGGTCGACGCTCAACCACTGAGCCACGTCCGGCCAGGCCACACATGCATTTCGTGTCTTGAAAATGTACCTGATAGAAAAATCCATGCATGTATGTTACTGCAGCTGGGTCCATTCTTAAGGAACACCTCAACATTTCTGAAATATGTCGTAAAGCAAAAAATGGTTCCAGAAGGAGACCTCTGTTTTCTATTTTCCTTAACCTCTTTCTATAACATAAAGTCCATTACCTACATTGGTGTTTTTCCCTGTCCCAGTGTAAATTTCCATGAAGTGGCTCTCTCCTCTCTCCTCCCGTCTCTTGTTGTGTTTTAAATGGCTCGACTTCACAGGCACCAGCCACCAGCTGGAGCCAGTCCTGTTTCAGAGAAAGGAAGGAAGCGTGAGGCCAGGTGTCTCTCTTAACCTTTGTGCGGAACAAATGTCTTCCTTTACCTTAAAGAGAAAGTGAGAGTGTTCCGAAGATTAAGAATAAATGTGCCTCACTTCCTTTGTGATTTTTCAGTTTCTGCCACTCACATACCCCCGTCTTGGTGCAAGGGAGGTCCTTGCTGAGTGTTCCTTTTCAGGAATACCTGCACTCTGCCTCTTCTTGCCCTGCCTCTCACCAGCTCATGGTTCCCAAACTGCAGCCACTGAACCTACAGTGCTGTGTGAACTGCTGGAAATGTGTCAGGAACGTGACATTGAGGAACATGGCGTGGGGTTAGTGAGATTGCCCACAGGGCCATCCATACTTTATCACTTTGGAAAGCCATGTGTAGATTCCTCAAATGCTTCGAGCAGCAGGGTGTGGTATGTATAAGAGGAACTCTGCCAGCATCTCCTGTGCTTATTAATTTTCTTCAGTGTCTTTCTCTCAAGTGAACAGTTCTTCTTGAAGGCTTAATTTCGTTTGTGGGGCCATAACATTAACACTCAGTCTTCTTTTTTTGAAGCACTGGACTTTGTGTCGAGCTGTGTTTTGTGAGGTTATGGAAAAGGCATGCACTTTCTGGAACTGAGGGTGAAGGAACTGGGTAGGGTCTGTCTTCTGGGCTTATTTCTTTATCTGCATGGGGAGGGGTCTCAGTTCCCTGCTCCAGTTCCCTGCTGTGGGTCATTGGCTATTTTCACAAGGAAAGATGGGCCCAAGAGAATTAAAGTTATGCTGAGAAGAAGAGGTGAGTTTATTGAAATTCTCTGCCTCGTATGTCATGGAACTGGTGTTTTTAGTTTTTCTTGGCTTGAGTATGAGAACTGCTGCCTGCGAGACTGAGCACCAGGGGATGGATAAACCTTGGAGATAATGTTCAGGTTTACTGAGTGATTTATGAGGGAGTGGGAATATAAAATAAGATTCTGAATCTAGGTTTCAGGAGAGCACGATAGGTTTCTGTAATGAATGAAGCTTTTATTTTTGTACTCTGAAGTAATTTAACTGATTTAAATATTTAAAACTCTCCCTTTTAGTAAACCAGGTCTTTCAAAATCTAAAATAAACACAATTTTAGTCACAATCTTCATTGTAATAAAAAACAATAATTTATCTCTTAAGAATAACAGAAACAATATATGCATCCAACTTTAAACAGAGATGAAATAAAATCTTGCTTAAAAGAATTAAAAATCATCCATTTAAAAATAAAAAAAATCTTACAAGAACTTTTGGAATAAGTTGTCAGGAAGTGAGATTAACATTTGTTCTAGAATTAGAACCAGGTGATCTGACCTGTACAGGTTTTTCCATTTTGATTTGGAATGAATTACTGATACGAATGGAAAATTAAGAACGTGTCACAAATTCTTACTTTGAAAAATTTCTAAGGGACTTTTTTGTTTTTTAACCTTCAGCTGTTAGACAGCTGAATGCCAGGGAGGTGGCAACAATTTTTGGCAAAAAAACTACTGAGCAACATTTCTAAGCACAGGTAAAATGAAATAACCAGGACTGAAAATTGTGTATTCATTATTTGAAGTAGAGCATGAGGCTAAGTGTCTTCTACCTATTTTGAAATTAACTTTGAGGTCCTAAGCTCTACCCTGAAGGCTTGTATGAATCCCATGGCTTTGGCCTTATTGCAGTAACTAGAGATTGACAAATCATAACTCTTTAAATTTGGCTTATTTTAAAAAAATGTTAAGGACATCCCATGTACCACATATACTCTGCAAAATCTTGGCGATGCCAGGGAGATGGTGATGTGGTTCTTGCCCACAAGTTGCTCATAGTCAAGTAGAATAAATGAAATTTCACTTATGGATGGATGAGGCAGGTAGGGAGGGCTGTTCTGATGTACAATTATGTATGCATTTGGTAAATATATGTTTTATCCTCATATTTAATTAATTACTAAATTAAATTAATTTTCTCTTGCTGTACAGCAAATTATTATACACTTACAGCTTAAACCAACACCCATATATTATCTCATAGTTTCCATGGGTTGGGAGTCTGGGCATGGCTTAGCTGGTCCTCAGCTCAGGATCTCAGAAGGCTGCAGTCAAGGTGGTGGCCCAGCTGTGTTCTCATCCGGAGGTGTGAATGGGGAAGAATCCACTTCTAAGCTCATTCAAGTTGTTAGCAGAATTCATTTCCTTGTAGCTGTAGGACTGATGTCCCTGTTTTCTTGCAGGCTGTCAGCTGGGGACTTGCTCTTAGATCTTAGAGGCCCCTGTAGCTCCTTGCTATGTGGCTCCCTCACAAGCCCTGTCATGACATGGCAGCTCACTTCTTCAGAGCCAGAAAGTGAGTCTCTCACTCTCTAGTCTGCTGAATTGGAGTCTTATATAGAGTAACTGACCAAGGGAGTGGCATCCCATTCCTTTTGCCATATTTTGTTGGTTAGGAGCAAGTCACAGATTCTGCCTGCATTCAGGTGGGGGGGATTACACAAAGGCGTGACCTGTCGGGGGTCACCTTAGAATTCTGCCCACCACAGTACATTTCTGATTATTCCCCTGCCTTGTGTTCCCAAGAAATCTGAGCATTTAAATCCTAGGAAGACTGATGAGAGCGCACTCCCAGTTGAGAAATAAAATCTGTCATCTGGAAAATCAGAAGTAGATTGTTTTCGTCTCTCAGTAGTTAGAAAACAGGAGGAGAAAGTAATGTCTATAGGTTCACAATGTTGATAGGAAGAAGTTACATAAAAATAGTGAGGTGTGCGGCTCATGTGTTCGGGGTGGACCTCCACAGGAATCTCACAGTATCCGCTGGCTAGACTCAGTCATGTTTTTTTATTTTATCCGGATGTCTTAGCATTGGCTGATCACTCAGGAGTGACATATGGCAGGAACACGCTTTGAGGGACAAGTCTCCTGGAGAGTACACTGCAGCACTCGAACTAGACAGATGGTGGCTTATTCAACCTTGGACAGGAGTGTAATCCTACACAGTGGCAGGCTGGGGGCCGAGAGGTGCTTGTGGCATCTGAGGCAGAGCTGACCGAGTTTACCTGAAACTGCTTTGTAAGGTGCAAGGTGGTCACCTGATGTGACCTGGAATGGCTTAATGCACACAGAGTATACTCATCAAGCTGGGATGGGGGTGCTGGTGACAGATTGTGTGACCTGGAAGTGGACAGAGCCTGGAGCACTAAGTGGAGGATGTTCTACCAACAGAGTAGAGGGCAGGTGTGAAGACAGCCTTGTAGACAGAATCGCGGATGTTATCACCCTAGCCAGGTCTTCACTAAGCAGGGGTCGGTGTTGCTCCCACAAAATGAAACATGTATTTCATGGGAGGAAAAAGGAGCTGCTGGGCCTGCCTCCCTTTACAGTTAAGGATTGGTGGATCTGTGTGGTTACAAGATAATTTCGATTGTTAAGAAAGAAAATGGTCTTTTTACAGCCATACTTACCATGTTTATGATTTAAAAAAGACAAAACCTAAATGCAATAAAAACATTGTCCATTATTTGTCTGTGGCCCCTCATTAAGAGAAGGCCTGTGTGTTTGGAGGAACAAGTGTGGATCCTTTGACTGGAAGATGAGAACTCGGTGCCCCTGTGGCTGCTAGAGAGCTGACAGGGAGATTTTGTCCTTAGTTCAGTCACATCCCTTACCCCAGATTTTTTACTCAAATTCCCTCTTCCTTTTCTTTATTATTTGATGCTTATTTTTATATTCTTATTTTATTCATTTTTGTATTTGTGCTTGTAATTGTGACAGTCCTCAAATATTTTTTGGAACTTGGGGAAGGGGATGGTATACTAAGTGAAACCAAGAAAAGGTTCACTGAAATTCTTTATTTTTCCTTTTAGCAGTTCAAGCTCTACATTTGTAACATCAACTGCTGTCTCTTATAAGACCATTTCAAGAACTGACATCAGTTTTCATACAGCTTAAAAGGTGAGTAGAACTTAAGACCTTTTTTTTAAGTACTTTTTTTAAAATTGATTTTTAGAGTGAGAGGAAAGGAGAGGGAGAGAGAGAAACATCGATGAGAGAACCATTGATCGGCTGCCTCTTGCATGCCCCCTACTGGGGATCAAATTTGCAACCTGGGCATGTGCCCTGATCAGGAATTGAACTGGCGACTGCTTAGTGCATGGGACAACGCTCAACCAACTGAACCACACCGGCCAGGGCAAGGCTCTTTTTTTTTTGATAATGTTTGTGACACAGAACTTGTCACAGTATTAACCATTGAGATGGTGTTCTCAAGAAAGTTGTACCGACTTCTAGGTGTAAAAACCACTAATTTAGTTTTTACTGCTAGGATGAAAGTTGCATGATATCAGATTAAATATGACATTTTTGTTTAATACACAAGTATATTCACAGTGGTCTGTGAATATATATAAAATAAATATTTCTAGATTTACTAAAATACTTAAAGAAAAATAATTTTACTGTTTTGCTGTTTTAATGCCCAGATGCATGAGATTCTTTATTTTTCATTACTAATTCTTTGTTTTGCTTGGTTTCTTACTTCTTAAAATGGGGGCAATAATGTGGTTGCCATGAGGAATAAATGAGCCACCCTGCTTAATACAGCGCTTGGCATATAGCACACACTAAATAAATGTCAGTTTCTTTCTCTCTCTCAGCTATTGTGACATCAAGTGAGCAGGTTTTTCTTTTTATCGGTAGTATACGTGGTCTGTACAGTGAAGTGGGGGTTGACCTCCTAATATGCTGCATTTGGTTTTATGTCTGTGCACCTGTGTGTTTCTTTTTGAAGGGTTGGGTATAAGTGGCCGGGCGTTGGGGTTTCTGAAAGTAGAAGCTTAGATAACCCAGATGTGTTTTGGTATCTTTGGATATCCTCAGACTCAAAGCCTGAATCAGAGCCAGCCCCAGTGGGGGACAGTCAGTGAAGGTGCCAGGAGGGTGCCAGGAGCATCCTGGCTTCTCAGCCTGCCCACCGCCAGCTTTTCACCTGAGGCATGCCTCTTCACATCTCTGCCTCTGTTTTTGTCAAGTGATGTTAGTGCTTCCCGTTCCGCCCAATTACCAGGCTGTGGGGAGCATCAAATGAAGAAATATATGAGAGTCTTCAGGAAAGTAAGGAAGTCTATAAAATATAAGGTACAACTTTTTCCTAAATTTTTAATTTGCCAGGTGTAACTCATCGTTTATGCTAAATCTCTTACTAGAATGTAAGCTTTGTAAGGTCAAGAATGCCCCCTCCCCCCCCATGCACACTTCTTTTATTCTAGGGCCTAAAACACTTTCTGGACTTCCTGGTACATAGAAGTTCACTAGAACATTTTTCTAATAAAATGAATTAAGATCACTCCTGGAGGCTCATTTAGCCTTTTTATTTGTGATTGCTGTTGGAAGTAGATGAGGCAATCTGAGAATCAGGAGGGATTTAATGTGCTTCCTTGTTGAGGAACACAGAAACCTGAATTTAAATGGAGTTTTCACAGTTTGGAATCTTCTTAAAATTGTAGGTGCTAAGAAGCACACAGCACGTAACAAACTACACTCCGAGTCAGTATTGGGTGCAGTTCCTCTGCATTGCTGAGCGTGTGCAGTTCATGTGTTTCTTTCCTGAGTGGTTTTCACTATCAGATATCTGAAGACTTGGAGCCCATTTGCTGGGCTCTCACAGGGTGGCTGGTAAGCTTTCACAGGGACCATTCAGGCTGTGCGCCTCGCAGATGTTTAGTGACTGATGAAGAACTTCCCATTCGTGTGATTCTTTATTACTTGACAGGACAGTATGATGTTTGAGAATACCTTATCTTCCCTGACTTGGTGAGTGTTGATGAGCTGGGCTATTTTTCTTCCATGATTTGGCACACCCACCACCAGTTTAAAGTGGAGATGGCCACTCATTTTTAACAGGGCCAAGAGAGTATGGGCCTGATGAAAGTTTCTCTTTCATCATCTCAGATACAGTCGTCTTTGACTTTACCACCAAAAACTAAAACCGTCTATAAGTAGGATTTTACTGAGTAACTGAATACACTGCTGGACTATGCCCCTAAGGACGGTATAGCTTGATTTACAAAATTTCAACAAAAGTAGAAATAATTCTTGCAAATTACATAAGTACCTGATTTCCCCCCATATATGGGGTTACTGCCTTCTGTTAGCTATTTTAAGCAACTTTCAAAATTGGTAATGGAAAACTTTTTCTTGGCTACATTACTGTATGTGGGTTTTAAATACAAAGCAACGTTGCTCCTACTGAACATCAGAGCAGTTAAAGAGCAGATCCCTGTCTGCAGAACTGCTAGTCGCTTTGTGCCTCTCAGGTCATTTTCTTTCTTCTTTTTTTTGTTAATCTTCACCCCAGGATATCTTTTTCATTGATTTTTAGAGAGAGTGGAAGGGGGAAGGGAGGGGTCAGGAGAGAGAGAGAGAGAGAGATGTGAGAGAGATAAATTGATTGGTCATCTCCCGACACCCTCCCTGACTGGGGCTGGGGATTGAACCTGAAAACCTGCAACCCAGGCATGTACCCTTAACTGGAAATTCAACCCGAGATCCTTTGGTGCACAGCCTGACACTCTAACCACTGAACAACATTGGCCAGGGCTCAGGTCATTTTCAAGCTCATACTTGGATTCTGAGGTGTTTTAAGAACTTTTGCACTTCTAAAGTATGTTCTTAGAGCGGACTGTCCTGGAATTTATATTTGCTCTGTTACTTGTAAAATCCTGCATCTTAAAGCTCACAGCTGGACCATGAGACGTTCCTAAGTGTTGATAAGATGGACAGGTGGAATGACCACTCTCCTCCATCTGCTTGGCTGGGAAGGCTGAATGAGGTCTGGATTTTTGCATTAACTGCAGAATGTACCTGTCTTACTGAACTATGGATTTTTTTGCAGTTGGTTTTAAAATGGAGTTGGGTCCTCATGTTTAGATTGTTATCACATGTATTTTAAAATGTTGACCTCCTTGATAAATCCAAAGACAGATGCCCTTTTTGCCATGTCACATTTGTAAGGTGTAGTTAGAAACCCAGCCTATGCTCAAATTCTGTGCTTGCCATTTTCATTCACTTTGTTACTCTGGCAAGTCCTATCCCTCTCGGAGTCTCAGCTTTTCTCATCTTTAAATGGGATAGTATTTATCCCGCAGAATTCTTGTGAAGATGTGTAATTCAGCATTTGATGTACAGTAGGAACTCAGTAAAATGTCAGTTATTATTTTCCATCCAAATGCTAGTTCTTACTCAAGGACCATGTGCTGACGGGATGAGAGGAAGAGAGAGACTGGAGGCACAGATATCTCTGCCCTCTTTCAGGACTGAGGGGGTTTGCTGAGGAATTTCAGGAGGCATCTTGCCAGAGCCAGGTCTGGTGGAGTGCTGGTGGGCACAGAGCTGCTGGATGTAGGTAAAGAAATCATTATTCAAGCTTTGGCCCCATTTCCTGTCCTCTTCATTAGAGAACGAAATCTCAGACTTAGAACCGATTGGCACTCAGCACAGACAAGAGAGGTTTAGGTGGGAAAATCCCACCTCTCTTTTGTTTTTCCCCAAGGTCCTTAAGGGATCTGAAGTGGATGTGAGGGCCAGGGAGCCATTTGAAAGTCTTTCAGTGTGCGACCTGTGGTCCCTGTGGGGGATGCTCCAGCAATTCAAAAATAACCTTCGGTATAGATAATGCATCCCTGACCTGAACTTCCTGTATCTGCGTTAAATTTAAACTTTTAAGGTAAATCAAAGAAGATCAGTAGTGCTGGAAAAGCATCACCTTTGAGTGTAGGTCCCTGATGTCTACACTGGTAAATAAAGTAATGCTTATTTTCTTTGGATGTATCCTCGGTAGTGTACAATAAAATAGATTGAACCATGAAAATGCGATCAAACAAAAACATTCTGAGCTGCATTATAAATGACCATATTGTGTTGGGGGTTCCCTAACTTGGAGGAGGATTCAAACTCGGCCCCACAGTTGGGTTAAGATTGTTCAGAGGCTGCACCGAGACTTCCCATCTGCGAGAAGCTGGGCAGCTGTAGGTCAGTGCCTCTCTGCCTTCAGGGTTGTCCTCAGGGAAGCGATGCCCAGGTTCCCAGTGGGGTTGGGTCCTGGGACACATCCTAGGCCTACTAGTTTTGGGGTCCCGCTTGACTTCTGAGAGCCAACCAGAAGGGTTCTCCGGCCTTATTCAGGCCCTCCCTCCTGCCCGCCCATGTCTGCACAGCATCAGGGGACTCGGATCTGAGCTCCATCGCACAGCTTTCCTTCATTGTTCAACTTTAAGGTTAGCGTGCCCTGCGAAGAATGGAAGCTCAGCACGGGCGTCAGGGATGCTCTGCTGTGTTTGAGTTGGGATGAAGCAGCAGTGCAACGGGGAAGGCCAGCAGGCAGGAACACCACTTTCAGAGGCTGGGAAGAGAAACTTATCACCTCTGTCATTTCCGTCTGTGGCCTGGGAACTTGGGAATTTTTCTTTGCCTATTTGTTGGATGCTGTCCTTCTATTTTGGGACTATATTATTTTCTTACTAAGCAGACATTCAGAGTTGTGTTAGAAAAACACCTTTACTTTCGCTTTAAAATCAAGCATGCTAACAGCTTCCTCAGTGGATGCCTAGCGCAGTAGTGTCAAACTGCTAAAAAGCTAGCAAATTTTCCACCTAAAAATTTTGTGGGGGAGGAATGGGTGGGGGGCGTGGGGAAGAATATAAAAATAAACCTTCCAGAGATTTTGGGTTGCTTGGTGGAGTGGGTATTTTTCCATGGTGCGGGAGGTTAGAAATAGCATTGCTTTTTATGGGATTCTCAGCAGCAGCTCAAAAATTTGGCTTTGTGGGCTCAGTCCCTCTGTGTGGGTGAGGCAGCTTCTGTAGCCCGTGAGGTGGGGGCAGCGCCTGGCAGCATGCTCTGGCACTGTCTCTGTCTGTCTTCCTGCCTCCCTGCTCCCCGCTTGGTGTCACCCGGAT